AACAAGGCAGGGATGGATGTCCTCTTTTACCACTTCTATTTAACATAGTTCTTAAAAACTGGCCAGAGCAATTAGACAGATGAAAGAAATTAAAGGGATACACATAGAAAAAAAAAAGAACTCAAGTTGACACTATTTGCTGATGATATGATTCTACACCTAGAAGACCCTAAAAGTTCCACCAGAAAACTTCTAGAACTAGTAAATGAATTCATCAAAATAGCAGGATACAAAATGAACACCCATAAATCAAAAGCATTTCTGTTTATCAGTGACAAATCCTCTGAAAGGGAAATGAGAAAAACTATCCCATTTACAATAGCCTCAAAAAAAAAATACTTGGGAATCAACTTAACAGAAGAGGTGAAATATCTATATAATGAAAATCACAGAACACTAAAGAAAGAAATCAAAGAAGACCTTGGGAGATGAAAAGATCTACCTTGCTCTTGGATAGGCAGAATTAATATTGTCAAAATGACCACATTACCAAAAGCACTATTGAGATTTAATGCAATTCCAATCAAAATTCCAATGACATTCTTCATAGAAATAGAAAAAGCAGTCATGAAATTCATCTGGATAAATAAGAGACCCAGAGTAGCTAAAGCAATCCTTAGCAGGAAGAGTGAAGCAGGTAGCATCACTATACCTAATCTTAAACTATACTACAGAGCAATAGTAACAAAAACAGCATGGTATTGGCATCAAAACAGACTGGTAGACCAATGGTACAGAATAGAGGACACAGAGACTAACCCACAAAATTATAATTATCTTATATTAGAAAAAGGCACAAAAAACATGCACTGGAGAAAAGATAGCCTCTTCAACAAATGGAAAGACTGGAAATTCATATGCAACAAAATAAAATTAAACCCCTATCTCTCACCATGCACAAAACTCAACTCAAAATGGATCAAGGACCTAGGAATACAACCAGAGACCCAGCGTCTAATAGAAGAAAATGTCGGCTCTACTCTCCATCATGCCCCAACTTCCTTAATAAGACTCCTTTGGTGCAAGAATTAAAACCAAGAATCAATAAATGGGATGGACTCAAACTAAAAAGTTTCTTTTCAGCAAAAGAAACATTCTGTGGTGAATAGAGAGCCTACATCTTGGGAGCAAATCTTTACCCCTCACACATCAGATAGAGCACTAATCTCTAATGTATATAAAAAACTCAAAAAGCTAAGCACCAAAAAATCCTGAATATCCCAATCAATAAATGGGCCAAGGACATGAATAGACACTTCTCAGAAGATGATATACAATAAATCAACAAATATATGAAAAAATGTTCATCATCACTACAATTAGAGAAATGAAAATCTAAACCACTCTAAGATTTCATCTCACTCCAGTCAAAATGGCAGCTCTTATGAATACAAACAATAGTAAGTGTTGGTGAAGGAAAAAAGGTACACTCATACATTGCTATGGGACTGCAAATTGGTACAGCCAATATGGAAATCAGTATGGAGATTTCTTGGAAAACTGGGAATGGAACTACCATTTGACCCAGCTATCCCTCTCCTCAGTCTATACCCAAAGGACTTAAAAAGAGCATATTACAGAGACACAGCCACATCAATGTTTATAGCAGCACAATTCACAATAGCTAAACTGTGGAACCAACCTAGGTGCCCTTCAATAGATGAATGTAAAAAAAAATGTGGCATATATACACAAAAGAATATTACTTAGCAATAAAAGAGAATAAAATCATGGTACTTGCAGGTTAATGGATGTAGTTAGAGAAGATAATGCTAAGTGAAGTTAGCCAATCCCCCCAAAAACAAATGCTGAATGTTTTCTCTGATATAAGGAGGCCAATTCATGGTGGAGTAGGGAGGAGATACATGGGAGGAAAAGATGAACTCTAGATAGGGCAGAGGGGTGGGAGGGGATGGGAGGGGGCATGAGGTTAGAAATGATGGTGGAATGTGATGGACATTATTATCCAAAGTACATGTATAAAGACACAAATTGGTGTGAATATACTTTGTATACAACCAGAGATATGAAAAAATGTGCTATATATGTGTAGTAAGAATTGTAAAAATTAAAAAAAGAAATTTTGATGTACTCATTAAAATGTTATAAAGTAACCTGCAAATACAAAGCACATTCCTGATTGTCAATACTTGTAACACTAGTAGTCCCTTAAAATATTAGATGCTTTGCTGTTGGAGATAAAGAGTTTTCTCAAGAAATGCTACAGGAAGTCATAAGCAATAGCACACATTCTCCTTAAAGGAAGCAGCACATGAATTAATACTGCAGATGTGAAGAACAGATTTTTTTTGTGTTAATATATGATATATGATATGTAACATATAACATATTATATATAATGCATCATAAATAAAGAATATATATTATATATTATTTATTGAAGAAATATAAGATGTAGTCTAGGTTTTAGTGACAAATATTTATAACTCAAATTTCTCTTGTTTTTTTTTTTAAGTGAATTCAACTCTACTTCTTAACACATTACACCATATTGTTGTGCGAGGGAAGCCCTTGGGAGAATGCATGCTAACAACTCATTCATGTGTAATTGATAGCCATAACAATTTTATTTTAGCATTCCTTCATTTAAGATTTCAAAATACTTTATAAATGTTTTAATTAAAAATTTCCTCTTAAAAAGAAAAGTACAAAGTGTCTAATTCCTCTTAGATATAAGCACAGCTTTCATTATGTGAGAAATTCAAGGTCAGTAGGCATAATGTCTTCAAACACTCAATATCATGTTATTGATAGTAAAAAGATGCTATTTAAAGTCAAAATGCAAATTCAATTTTACTATGTGTCCTACAATTATTTAAAACTTTCATTCTTATGGTTCCTTTACATTATTTAGTTCTAGAACACTAATAAACTAGGAATCTAAATGAAATAATGAAATCTACAAGGTTAATAGCCAATGCCAGTTTAAGACATCTTGCCAAGAATATCTATATTTTATTTCACCTAGAATTAACGACATAATTATGTAAGATTCTTAGGATGGATTTCACCTGCCACACTAAGAGCACAATTAATTGCAGTTGTTATGACAGTAGTAGTAACATGACTGATTTATATAGTATATTCCAAACTTTAAAATTTTGTGTAAGCAGAATGATTAGGGATACTTTGACAGTCAATTATTCCTTCTGGAAACTATATAAGCCATATCATATAATCTAGCCGGAACAAAAGATGATGGGTCTTAATTTAAGTGAGATCCAGGTGACAGGTCCTGAAAGGTCTGTTTCTGTCCTTTTTCTAACTATTAACTTATCAAGGAAAATGCAGTCAAAATTGATGATGTGTTCATGCCCTTAAAGTCATCATGAATTAAAAATTAATTTAGATGCATAGATCAGGTGAAAGCTACAATCAAATAATATTTTAGTAGCATGAAGGTACCTATAGTCTCAGACCATTTGCTACAATTTTTTTATTTGTGAAATGAGGCTATCAATAGCATCAATCTCACTTTGTTTTTGTGAAAACTGATGAATAGATCTAATGTGGTAGTAAGACAATTCCCAAATCCAAGGATGGAACATGTAGCTGAACAAAGAAATTCTTTTCTGTTCCCATCCCATCTTTATCATCTATCTATCTATCTATCTATCTATCTATCTATCTATCTATCTCTGTCTGTCTATCTAGGATCCTGAAATATTAGCATTTTTGAGACATTTCACAGTTAAGAGAAAAGAACATTGGATATTTAAATGGGTTTGTTGATGTTGTGCTATATTCATTGTTCGCGTGTTTCCAATAAAATGTTCATTTCTTCAATGGAAGCATTACTATGTAGCCACCATCTTTATTAAAATAAAAACATATATGAACCGCAACAGAGAAGTTTGAAACAAAAGTACAAGAAAATAAGAAAGATCAAAAAAATAAAAAAAAATGGGCTGGCTGCTATTTGTTTTTTAAAGTTACAAGAGCAACTTTGATTATTTGATATGTGATTATTTTGAATGATAAACTATCATGATTTTCCCCTGACTGTATCTTGCTCTCTACTTTTTCTTCTTGATAATCCAGGTTGCCAAGATATGAAGTGACTAGAGAAAATGAAAGAAGTTACAATGAATCACTTTGTTCTTTGTTTACAAATATGGTTTAAGGTAAGAATGGACAAGTAAAATAGAATTTTAAGGATTTTTTTTGTTATTCTTGTTACTGTTTTGTTCTATTACAACAATTAATATAAAGTTCATTGGATGTATTTTAGTGGCTCAAATAAGATCTATATACTACACATAAAATTTTATAGATTTTATAGTTTAGAAACTTTGTTGTCATGATTTAAGAGTTTCATTTAGATTCTTTATAATTATTTTCTAATCTATAAAGTGTGGAAAATAATACCAAGTCCATTTCCTAACAGAACAGTGCATATTAAATGAGTTAATAAAAGGTATTGATGATATCGTCCCATAAAAACAAATGATATATAACTAATTGAAACAAATTTTTAAAAAGAACAAATGATTATTCATGATATCATTGCTATTTTGTTATAAACACATTGTGGGTAACTGCTGCACTGACTTCAGATTAGTTCAAGTATGTATTTCTCCCAAGCCTCATAAGTAAGGAAGTTATATAGTTTGTTATAAATACTTAATGGCTACTTATCTATCCTAACATCTCTGGTTAAGAACTACAATGTGATTCTCCTTGCCTTTTGATTATGGTTTCTTTAATACAAAGCATTCAATTGTAAGCTGTGCTGATGATCCAAGATAAATCTCAAAAGACTCAGAAGCATGAACCCAGACTTTCTGACAATTTTTAAAACCCAAATCTTTCTCACTGTCAGATACTCCACATATGTGTTAGAGCTTCTTATAAACTCCCAAGTGAACATTTAATTCTCCCTAAAATGCAGCAAGAGATAGTCACCAAGGCAGCAGAGCAGCAATGACTCCACAGGACATCATCATATTTCATGTATGTAAAATGAGAAGCCTTCTTACCTAGCATGCAAACACATTTGGCATTCTGGTCAGGGTTCTCAAACAAGATTTCGCCACACCTCTGAAATAGAAGGATAGCTGCAGTTAAAATTTTAAGATGTCATCATCAGGATTCTCAAGGCAATATATTCATGAAATATGAAAATATTATGATGTTATTCTATTCTCGTTTTCGTAGTTAATTGAGTCTGGGGACTTATGCATAAACAGAGATTTTGCCGATAGTAAAATATCTGAAAGGTAATTTGGGATAGATTGTTCCTGCATGCCCCTGGTCCCTGCCTGTGTGCTCCCATGAGAAGTCATGGCTTGAGATGCACTTAGTTTCTATATCAGTGTAACATAGGCAATATAGGGCCCATTAACCTGAGTCTAATCATCCTCAAGTTTAATCCTTAGCACCTACATTATTCTAAACTAAGCTGTGTGCCTGACACTTAACTCTCTGAACTTGGTGTGGGGCAGAGATAAAGACATGAAGTGGCATTTATAATGCTTTTCTTGAACCCACAGACTCATAGAAATATCAATTTTCATATCTATTACAGTTTTAACTCACTTTTTAAAACTTTTTAAGAAGACAGAGTCTACAGATACAATCAGTTATTGGAGAATTTGTGTGATAAATGAAATTGGCAAATGGTTAGAACCTGAATATATAAATAAATCCACCAAATCAATAAGAACATAACAAATAATCTGAGAGAAAAAATGGGTAAAGGGTATGAACAAGCAATGCATGGAAAAAGAAATCTGGATGGCCAATAAACATAGAAAATATATTTATACCAATAATCAGGAATAAGCAAATTATATGTAATTTGTTTTGAACTCATTGAGTTGACTAAATTTAGAAGTCTGGCATTAACAAATGTTTTCAGAAATGTAGAGTCTGGGTTGGAGTATAAAATGACAACCACTTTGGAAAAAATTGGCGAAAATATAACAAAGTTAGAGAAATTTTCAAATGCAACTAAAATGCTCTGGTAAAAAACAGATAAATGTCAGTCATAATTAGAGGATTACATGATAGGTAAAGTGGATTAAAGCTATAGATGCTCTAAAACATCTAATATATAACATATATATATATAATTAAAAAATTGCAGAATATTCAAATCATAAAATACATATATTTTTCTAATCACATAAAACAATGTTTAAGTCATATAAAATTATAATGTTAATCAAAAACGTTTATCAGTTGAAAATGTCTAAAAACATTTATATATTGTTTATGGACATATTAACTTATAGAAAAAGCATAAAAAAATTCAATAAATAAAAAGAGAAACATCAAGTACAGGTTGGGAGGAAGAGATCTAGAGAAATGAAATGTCAAAGGTCACACAGGGATTATCAATTTTTTCTATAATTATTTGAAAACTGAAATTATTTCTTACACTTTTTTTCTATGCTTGAAATATTTAACAAGAAAGAATTTCCACAAAGCACAATACTAAATACAAATCTAAAAATGGCTGTTTTATACATGTATCCCTGTACCTGTCTCCCTGGGAGGCCATTGGCAGAAGATTGGATGGACTGTCTCCTCCAATAACTCTTCTTACCACTTACTTCCTTTGCCCTTAAGAAACTGAGAGCCTGCTACCTGCAACATTCTCCTCTCATTTCCACCTTTCACAACTTGGTTGATTCCACTCCCATCAATCTTTATTGTATCTGTACTTAATATATTATAAGATAAAGTGATTTAAAAGGGAATAATTCCTCATGTTCTTCACACCTAATTATGGGATCCTCCGGTACAAACAGGGAAAAGGATGAAGTCATTATTTTCAAATCAGCCCATCTTTTGGAATGACCTACATTGTGCACAAAGAGATGAATAAATGGCTCAGAGATATGAAAAGGAGGTAAGCTACTTTGGTGAGCCAAGAGGATGGGCTGTGGAGGAGGGAGGCTTGGTTCTGCGGAAGGTTAAGAGGGCACTGAATTCTAATGGAGACTCAGTATCGTGAGCTTTCTTCCCAGCTACTGTGCTGACCTCACGTGATATTTATCATGCCACTTAATCTCTTCATGCTTCATTTCTTTGTAAGTAACATGGGCTGTAGATATGTGCCATCAAGTCAGGTCAAGGAGCAAATGTGAGGATTAATGACCTGTGGAGTCTAATCCCCTGTTTGTTCCTGTTTTGTTTGTGTTTGGGGAGAGGTTAAACCCTTATAAATAGCTAGGATCTATTTTCTGCATCACCTGCTTTTCAAAGTGGTATTTTAATGACCTGAAAGAGTTAATAATTATTTTTAAATAAAAGGTCAGAGGTTTTGAAAATGTTTTCCACTTCTTGGCAGAACAAAGTCCCAGGAAGCTCTACCGATCTATATTCTGGATTCTACAAGGAAATAACTTGGGAGTGTTTTCTTGCCCTTTGTTAGTGACGAAGTCCACATCCAAGCTGCCACGGAAGAGCTTTCCTTCTTTACTCGCAGGGCCTTCCTGCAAGTAACAGGTGGATGTTGCATAACTTCCCATGGCTACTATAGGCCAAGGGCAGCCTTGTTTATGTCTTCCCTGGCCATGAACATAGCTAGGAGGGGTTTCTGAAACTTCTATGAGGCATGCATTCCATAAGAGTCATGGCCTGCCTGGGTTCACTGACTAGACAGGCTCATCGCCAGGCAGCAAAGCAGGTACTGTGTCCCTTCCAGTGAGGACAAGGCAATCAGACCTCTTCCTCAACTTGTCTCCCTGGTGGTCTGGGAAATGGCTGAAACACCTTTAACAAGGTCTTTAATTGCCCTGGTTTATAACATTACCTGATGATGGTAAGAGATTTTAAAGCAATGCCCAGAGGGGAATCTGATTGTTCTCAGGATTCTTTCCAGTGCTTTTTCTCATTGATGGCTGTGTTTACTGGGCCTTTGCTGCCAGGCTTCTTCCTGCTGTGAAACCCAGGGTGATGACCCAGTTTTGGAGATTAATTAAGCTAAGCCACAGGGTCCAAGTCTCAGAAAACTGCAGGCTCTGCCGTGGGGAAGGTCTTGTGTCCTGCTGGATTCTGGGGTGCTGCAATCCTCCTCTTCAATGCTCTGGTTATGCTCATTGGGACTTCCCATTCCAGCAACCTGCTGCTGAGTAACTCTGACTTTGTACTTGGTTCTGCTTGTCAGGACTCTTCCTAATTCTCAGGATCCCACCTCTCCTTAGGGACTCCAACTTTGCTTTGTCTTCTGTGCCTGAAATACTGATATCATCTCACCTTGTTCCTGTCCAACTCTCCCAGTGAACATTGCCCCCAGATAATAGGAAATTGTTATTGAAATTCTCATCCAAAGGATTGGAGCCTTGCTAGCATCAGAGAAATCCTCCTGATGCGTGGTCTCCTTCTGAAGCCCATAGGATACCATGCTTATGAACTCATGTGTAATGCTGATTCCCCCATAGACCATGAAGAACCAAATCCTGTTCATTAATGTTCTTAATATGTCTCATTGTTGTAAACCTGGTGCTTTATACATTCCAGGTTCCTGATAACTCTTTGTGGACTAGGTATACTAAATATCTGTGAACTAGCTCACATTTGTTGAGTGTACACTATAGACTAAGCATTTTTCTGTACATCTACCATCTGTACACCTACTGTCTCATACTCTAATTATACTCTTTTCATAGTAGACAACTTAGGCACAGAGGGTACCACTCACTATAGAATCCTCTCCTCCAATTAATGAGAAGATAAAGGCTGACAGGTTACTCCATACTTTACCAAAATACAAAAATCCCAATATTGGCTACTTTGGGTCTCCTCATTGTCTTGGCCAACTAGATTATCTCTATTGATGTCTCCTTCTCTCACCCATTAACAGCTTTTGTTTGTAAGGGTTGCACCTGTAAGAGCTCATGCTTTAGATTAGACTGACCTAATTTTAAATCCTGTTTCTACCTCCTCTTATATACTGTATTATCATGGGCAATTTATTTAGTTGTGCCCAACCTGCTTTCTTATTTATGATAGGGGGTAATATTATCTATGTCATAGGATCATTGTCAACTTGGTTTTTAATCCATTATGAATGAGAATGACCTAGTTTAAATAATTGTGAGGGGGGTTGTACTGTAAAAATAAGAATTAATAAATTTAGTTCATCCATGAAAATTCAATTTTAATTCCCATCATGATTTAGGAATAAAAATGAAAAAAAAAACCCTTAATTTTAGAAGTCAGAGTATTTCACAAGTTGTTTGCTATTTCTTACTTATTAAGAATTTTCTTTATCAAATTCAAAATTTGACCTTTATTCAAGAAAAAATATTGAATGTTATTAAATTTTGCATCTGTTATTTAGAAATCAACCTAAGTGTCAATCGAAGTTTGGATGGATAAACAAAATGTGGCATATACACATAGTAGAATATTACTCAGTCAGAAGAAGGACATTTGTGACATCATGGATGATCTTGGAGAGCATTATGTTATATAAAATAAGCCAGGCACAGAAAAACAAATACCATATGAACTTACTTATAGGTATAATCTAAAAAAAAATTGAATTTTTAGGAGCAGAAAATAGAATGGTGGTTACCAGGGACTGAAGGAGAGGGGTACTAGGGAATTGTTGGTCAAAAGGTACAAAATTTCAGTTAGACAGGAAGAATAAATCCAAGAGATCTCTTGTACACCATGATGACTAGAGTAATCACAGTATATTATAATTCATGAAAGTTGTGTACTTACAAAAATAGTAAATATACATGTAATGCACGTTAATTAGCCTGATGAAATCATATATTTCAGGACAATACAATAAAGTATGTTTCTCTTGATTGAACTATGTTTTTTCATTATTTTAATCACAAATTTAGTTGTGAAAATTGATATCAGGAGTAATTTTAAAACTCACACATAAGTTTTAAAATTTTATCCTGCTAAGGAAAAATATTGTCTGATATAATCGTATCCAAATATTGATAATAGTATTACATACTCAAAAGAAGTTATTAAAAGAGTAAAAAGCTCACATTTTGATTTTATTGTTTAGCTTTCACTGCTCCTAGCTTTCTTAAACCAATTAATGTTTTTCCTGATTCAAATAA